AACTTCTAAATTAATGGATACACGCGAACGCATCCCTGCAGGCTTTGAGTACCACGAGAAGCGAATGCAACTCAAACGTAGACTGACAAAATGTCTACGCAATGGCCAAAAATAGCTATAAGCAGCGAATGCTAAAAATGGAAAAGACTGTAATGATGAATAACAGTAGGTAGTTATTTAGACTTATTAAGGAAACTGGAGCGGAAAGGTCAATAGTAAATGAGACGATTGTGGAGAAGCATAGATCTTTGATTCGCTCGCAGGAGCGAGGACTGGGACAATGGGTAGAACACTTGGAGGAACACTTCAGCTGATCTTCAGCTACTATACCGTTGCTAGCCATCCAGTTGGAGCCTGAATTGACTATCAAGACGGGAACCCCTGAAACTTTCCGAAGTCAAAAAAGCCGTAGGTAACCTGTAACGAGGACCATGCGGACTAGTTCCAGAGGCATTTAAGGACGGTGGTCCAGGTTTTTCAGTCAACTGAAGTGGCAGCAAGTGTGTAGGAATGAGGTAAGTTCCCTCTGACTGGTCTCAATCACTAATTAACCGAGTCTTCAGGAAAGGTGAGAAGTCCTCTTGCGATAACCATAGAGGAATCAGCCTGACGAATATAACGTCTAAGACTAGGTTTTATAATCGTCAGGCATCTGAGTGGAGCTCGGCAACTGCAAGTTCGAGAGGACCTGGCGGGCTTCAGATCTGACCTGTGAGTGTGTCGACGAGGTATTCATACCCCACCAAGTTTCGGAACACAGACACGTACCGACGCCCCATAACAGCTATATTTTTTGACCTAAAGGCGACGTTAAACTCCGTCCATCGAGGGGTGTTGTGGTAGTATCTGACTGTGGAGAGTACCAGGCAAGTGTATAACGCTAATCCAAGCTGTCTACTCGCACTCACGCAGCCGTGTAAGGGCTTATGAAGAGTTGTCATCTGAATCGACGACAATCGCTGGTGTTCTCAGCTCATCCGAGCCACTGGTTGCTGGAAGCTCGGTGTTAGGGAGACGATCTATGAGATAAGTATTACGTTGAGCGGAGCACTTCGAAAAGCAGTTTAGGTGGCCCACGGCTGCAGCATTGTCAGCTTCGGTGTGTCGTGCTCCACCTAACGAAGCGGAGGTTCATAAGGAACTCTAAGTTCTAAAACGCCACAAGGCACTCAACCCAGACAACTTACCCTTGATTGTTTTTAAGGATGGAGGAAGGATGGATGGATGAAACTAAATTGTTTGAGAAGGTATGGCATACTGAGAGTATTCCATCACTCTGGAATGAAGCCATCGTTGTGCCCATCTTTAAAAAGGGTCTGCGTTGTGTTTGTGACGATCATTAGGGTGTTAGTCTGTTACTAGTCACGTCGAAAAAATTGGCTGCTATCATACTTCTCAGACTTTGCAAAACGTGTGAGAAAATGATTCTCAAGAAGCAGACTGGGTTTTGTTCAGGTCATGGTTTCATTGATCATGTTTACCCTCTGCCGAATGCTTGGACATCACTAGACGTATTGCAGTTCCACAGTCGTTGTGTTTCCTGGTATTAAGGGTGTCGTCGATTCGTTGGACAGAGCTATACTCTGGGATTGTTTGTTAGAAGGGGGGGCGTGCCCGAGAGATTTATTAACAACCCGAAAGCCTTATGTATTAACATCTTAGTAGAGTGAGGGCATACAACCAGCTGTCTCGATTGTTTCAAATCAGTAGTGGGTTAGACAGGGTTTCCCGATTTCTCCATTCCTTTCTAACTTTGCCATTGTTGACATTCTTGAGACGGCTCTGAAGAAGGTGCGTGGTGGGGGCGTAAATTGACTACCTGGAGAACGGCCATTCGACCTTGAGTATGCAGACGATGCGTCTTACTGCGAGATAGCACACAGGCTACTCAAATCACTTGATCAGTTGGCGATTAGTATCCGGAAGTTTGGTATGTGCTTTGCACCATAGAAGTGCAAAGTAATTTTCAAGATTGGCAGGAGCCTGTGCCTGAGATCACTCTCGGTGGTGAGCCGAAGTGGAAGTAGTCGAAAAGTTCGTGTACTGGGTAGTTGTGTGAGTGATGGTGGTGTGTGATGAAATTTGTAATTGCATATGGAAAGCCAGGGTGGCATGCATAGATTCGGGTCACTTTTGGCGCCGTTGGGATGCGTTAGTTTGATCGTAAGAGGTCGGATATACAACGCTTCGGTCCGAGCAGTTCTGATTTACGCCTGTGAAACCTGACCTCTTCGAACTGAGGATGTGCGATAACTCTGTGTGCTTGATCATCTTTGTCTCCATGGGATTGCTCGTATCCAGTGGTAATACTACGTGAGTAATTCTAAGGTGCGGCAGCGTGTATTTGGGCATGATAGAGATCGTCATTCAATAAATGAAGTCATTTGGAAACCGGCTTCGGCGGCTTGGACATGTAGTACACATGTCGTCCCAACGGATTCCACACCGTTCATTGTTTGCTAATCCTGGGACTGGATGGGAGAGGCGGACGGATGGTCAGTGTAAGACGTGGCGCCGTGAAATAAGGAATATTTGTATTGGTTTAGCGTCAGGACTCCTTTGGTGATTTCTGGGAGATCACGCAACTCAGTGGCTTGAGACGTTTTAAGATATGGCTGAGAACCGAAACCAGTGGCGTCATGCTGGTAGTTTCCTTCTGTCTTCTGCTTCTGAGAAGTAATGAATATTTTGTTTTGAATACTCTTTCTAATCATTCTATTCTTATTGGTTTTCTCTCTTACTTTTCCACTTATCATCGTTCACGTGTTCACAATGTTTATACTATTTTGTGTGACTCATTTCTTGGTGCCCTTGCTGTAACATGTTTGTGTCTATTAGTGTCCTCTGTCACTGTTCCTGTTTAGTTTCTTTTTATATGTATTAAAGGACAACTTTAGGTACATCTGACTTCACAGGGATTGGTCTAATCCCTGGAGGTCATTTGGTTGACTTGCAGTATACAGACGATGTTATCCTGTTGGGTAAATACGCTGACAAAATACAAGGTCTTGTGGGCACGTTGAGGAAAAATCTGAGTGTGTTGGGCATGCGTTTTGCACAGGATCTTGATCCCAGGTGTCTCCGTAGCATTACTTGCATTTAGTGAAATCACCGTGACAGCAATGTTGAGATCAGACAGAGGGTACTAAGCAAAACAGAGTCGATTGATGAAATTGTGAACCTTCGTTGACTGAGATGGTTTGGACAAATAATGCGCATGCCGATTCACTGCCTACCTCAACGTGGTATGCTAGAGGAAGTTGGGTTAGATTGGAAGAGGGTTCAAAATAGGCAAACCCAGACGTGACACCAGTCTCCGACTGTTGGTCTGAGTCATGTGTGGTAATGTAGTCAACTTGGCTAAGGTCCGGAAGAGGATAGGAATCAGTGGCTAAGAGCTCTTGGTGGCATGTCTAGAAATCCCTCGCAGTGGTGCAAATGTATTACTCCTTTGATATCTCCTAGAGCTTGAGTATTTGTGCTGACGTTATCTTCAATTTTTATATCCTCTCACACAACTTTATCTATGTTGATATCATTTTTTTCTGTCCACTTGTATGCTGTCGTAAAGCACACCACTCTTGTGCGTGGTTCTATGATGATTTTTTCTGTCCCTTCCTTTTCATCTCTTTCGCCACTTTCTACCACTCTTGATTGCTTTCTTGATTTCGTCATCTTTCTCCTTATATAAGGTGTGGCAACCATGACCATTAGGCATAATGTTGCCTATTTTGATACCTGTGTCTCTATCTTGAAGAAAAAAAGTAAAAATAATTAGAATTCATAATGTACAAAAGATATGACCAGTTCCCAACTGCTTCTAACAAAATAAAGTAGGGGGATCAGCTTGAAGACGATTTACGGATTGCATAGTCCATAATAACATTTTATAACTTCTCAGCTGTAGTATCATTGGGCTTTCCGTTGGAAACATTTGGTGCCGTCCAAGAGTGGTACGAGCTAACCAAATATACCACCGGACAACTTGAGTTGTTAGATACTACTCAAGCTAATGTTATTTTGCCAGCCACGTCAGCCTGAGTGGTTTCTAACTGCTCAAGTTGTTCAGTATCATATTAAGATAGAGTAGCTATTCATCGTTCTGTTTGTTTGCTTTTAATGGATGTTGTGTTTGAGGTCTTCATAAAAGTTGTTCGTTATCTAAATAAAAAGTACACAACAATTTATCAGGACACTGAATATCAGTTTCAGCCACTGAAAAAACAAAGTTTATTATTAATATAAGAATAAAACTTGGGCACCATGGTAGAATGTAATTCCATTTTAGTTGGTTTATTAGATGTATCACACAGTAGAGCAGTATTATTTAATGGATTACTTTTTGGACATAACTTGTTGTCCATAGTCATATCAAAGTAACTCCGCAACTTTGAGACATGATTTGTATAGTTCTAAGTTCAAAGGAGGCGAGGAATTTAGAACTGTATAAATTATGTCTCAAAGTTGTGTAGTTATCTTGATAAGACTTTGGACCTCAGCTCAGGTGATGGAACATCGGACCGGAAACCCGGTGGCCGCTGGTTCGAATCCTACCTCAGTCCAAGTTTTTATGTCACTTTCAATCATCACCCAATATAAATATGGACAATAGACTGTGTCCGAAATGTAATCCCGCAAATAATGCTGTCCCACTATGCTATACTTCTAATTAGTCACCTAAATAGAATAGATTGGTGTTAGGTTATGAAACTGATAAGTGTTGACTTCATAGTTTGTTTTATGGTTACTACCTTATCACATCTTTGCACTTTTCATTTGAGCATATAACTGTTTAGATAACTTCATCCATTTTAGATTTTCATGCATAATCTCTTCACGCGTTGCTTTTAGTGTTCTTGAAGTTATTTCGACTGTGACTGAAGTGTGGCAGCTTGAACTAGTGCACCGGTATCAGAGATTCTATATTGGTCCTGTCTCTGTTCCGACTGTATTTTGTCGATTGCACGATTTCAGCTTTTACTCTTCACTATACTTTTCAGGTGTTAAAAATGATGGTTGGAAATAACTTGAAGGATACTCAATTACAACAAATTGTGGATAAAACGATTATGTTTGCTGACAAAGATGGAGATGGTCGGATATCATTTGAAGAATTTTGTGAGGTTGTCAGTGGTCTTGATGTCCACAAGAAAATGGTAGTCGACGTTTAGTTTGACGACATAGCGTATGCTAAAACAAGAGCTGTATAATTTTCATTGAATACTTTGATGACTGCCATTAAAATTCAACTTTTTGTGTATACTGCGTTTATTCTTGTAGTCCTGACCTAATGAAGTTTACAATGCGTCCCTGATTAACAAACACTACAGTGCTGGTGATGAAATAAAAAGTATGTTTGCCTGTTTGGGCATCGCTCACCTGACCTGTCTTTCATATTGTTTTTATCTGAATTGTATTTTTATTCCAGCTGCGTTCAATCACTCCAAAGATCTCATATGTTTGCTTTCTTTAGGTGAGATAATCTTTTCCTTAAACAGCTGATGTGTGATTACGCACGTCTTTCTTTACTTTGTTGTTTTCACTGTTGTCATTTTTGTCGCTGCCATTGCTTTTGATTTTCAGTAACTCGCATGTTATCCAACTTTTGATCCTTACAAGAAGGTTTTTAGTGAGGTTATTTTATCATATATTTCGCATTTTGTGCTTCCTTATTCTTTTTTCCTCACTCTAAATTTTTCCATGTGGTTCCCACTTATCAATAGTTAATTCCTACTGCCCATATTTGTAATTGATTGTGTTTTACTTGTGATATGTTCTTACTATGCCCACATCTCTTTCGAATGAAGCATAAGTGTTTCTTCTTCTTTCGAAAATACGCTTGCTGTCAAATTAATGGTAGTTATTTTATCGGTTCATTTAAATAATCTTCTCTATTTGTTATTTTTATTTGTCTTACGGGGTTTTGTTTGATGGATTAGGCCACAGAACTTGAAGGTATTCGATTTCATTTAGTCCAAAGATACAGTGATCAGAATAATACTACCATGATTTCCAGATTCTGCAATTATATTACTTGATATAATCAACTTTCTTGTGCAGCGTAAGATATCTTGTGCTGAAAGAATAGTTCAGAAAACTGATGTGAGTCATCACTGATTTGAACTGAATTCCCAACTGATTGCTGCTACCTTGATACGATAGTCGGGCTCGCATATCAAAATGACCCAATGAGGTATGCTGGTGAGACGCTTGTTCCATAGAGGTCCTGCCATGCCAGAAAGGTTATTTGGTTGGTGGTAAGACGAGAAGCAATTGACATCGTTGCGTAGATTTCTGCCCTATGGTGTTCGGTGTCTGACACCGAAATCGTATTGCTAGTTGGACAGGAGTGTAGCAGCATTAGAGTGTTCCCAGCAGATGGAACAATGCCACACTGACACTGCCTTCCCATACAACAGAGAGGTTAGAAAAAATCTGCTCTGAAAATAGCATACTACCACTAACTCGTGGCATGCTGGAGCCGCCGACATATATTCATGGCCAGCTTCAAACTTAATATTTGTCCCTTGAGGTCCTAGTGAAACATAACGCTTCAGTAGCATGTGTCTCTTGCACTCTCTTCTCTGCAGTCTTTTCAACCTGGCTAAACCACTGCCAAGAAGCTTTCATTTCTTCCTCACACCATCTCCTCCATGTCACCCTCAGCTGGGACACCCAACTCGTCGTTGCCCATTTGGGTTTCCCTTGACCGCCTGGCACTTGACGTCCCTGAATGGTCTTCTCAGTGTATATACAGTCCGATCCATCTCCACTTTCTTCTGCATATTTGTTGAGCGATCGCTTTTTAGTTGGTTCGTTGCCAACCAGCCAGAGTTGCTTGTTGCTTATTCCTTCTGGCCATCTGATCTTCAGTAACGAACCAGTGTAGGCAGTTGCTGATGAAAGTCTGTAGTTTGTTGGAAATTCCTTTCGTGACGCGCCAAGTCTCTGAACCATACAGGAGCACTGACTTGACGTTGGTGTTGAAAATCCGCATCTTGTTCCACATGCTGAGTGCAGAGGTTCTCCACACTGGTTTCAGGCTAATGAACGCCTGTCTTGCTGTTTTTCCGATCCTGACTTTGACATCCTCATCTGTGCCGCCTGTAGTTGAAACAGTGCTGCCTAGATAGGTGGAAGAGGCTACTTCCATTGAGTTTCTCCCGTTGATGGTGATTGGAGTTTGTTGTTGTTGTTGGTGGTGGTGGTATTGATTGGGTATCTTCATCACCTCTGTCTTCTCTACGTTCACTTGAAGTCCTGTCTTCACTGCCCTGCCTCTTCTGTCAACTTGTTAGTTTTTGCCTGTAGATCTTTGAGTTTGTGCCATGAGATATTAGACAGCAATCATCATCGGCGAAATGCAAATCTCCTAAGGTCTTTTCATCGGTCGATCCAGCGTATCCCCCTCTTCTCACAGCTCCTTACTGTTTGTTGCATGATCCGGTCCACCACAACACAATCATGGATATCATGGGTGATAGTAGACAGGCTGGTTTCACTCCTGTCTTCACTTCAAAAGCATAACTGAGCTTCCCATTGTGAATTACTTGGCTGGCATGTGGCGTCTTCATATAGTTGTTGAATGAGATTGATAAAGGTTTGTGGTATTGCACTGGTTCATCTTCTGCTTCACCATCTTCGTCTCCTTCCTCTGTCGGCTCCCATGTGTCCATCGAGATCCATTCCTTGTCTCCTTTCTTCTTCCTTCCTAATACGGCTGTGCAGGTTTCTTTCCACATCTCTTTCAAAGACTTCCAGTGTTCTTCCACACAGGTTGCTTTGGGGATGTTCCTCGATATCTCCCATTTTGTCTTGATGACTGATTGACGTGAAGATATCCCTTGTAGTTTCGTCCTTCAGTTCAGTTTCTGTTCTGGGTGTTCAACTTGAATTGTGGTCTATCACCAACTTCTTTGAAGGCCTTCGACTTGATTTGGAAGGTTCCTTGCACTAGATAGTGGTCTGAGCCTACGTCTGCTCCTCTTCTTGACCTTGTGTCAAGTAGGTTGCGTCTCCACTTTTTTGAGATTGAGATGAGGTCGATCTGATTTTTAGTGTGTCCTGGTGTCTGGTGAAACCAAATCGATGTCGCTTTGTGAATATTTTTGTGCTTGAACACAGTGCCTGACTCCAATCACCGAATCGTTGAATGCACAGAATTCTGCAAACAATTCTCCATTCTCTTTCATTTCACCTAGCGCTTCTCGGCCCATGGTAATTCTCTTCCTGTGTTGTCTTATCCCAGTTTGGCATTCATGTCACCCAACCCATTAGAATTTTGATGTCGCCATCTGTCCAGCGTTTATTGCAGTTGTCTGTAAAATTCCTCTTTCTTCTCTTCATCTGCATTATTTGTAGGTGCATAGCGTAGCATTGTATGACTGTGACTTTCCTTCCTTCCTTCCTTCCTTCCTTTTGAGTTGAACCTTGCTGTCATGATCCTGATGCTGGAGGAGATTGGTTCCCATTGCATGAGAGTGAGCTTTCGATGTTCTTGGGGACATCATGATAGCCACTCGATAACTCAGTGTGCTTGTGGTTGCCGTCTGGGTGATAATACCGGCGTAGATTATTGACTCTCCAGTTGACAGTTTGGAGGGTCCACTTCCGTTCCATCTGCTTTTGCAGATTCCCAGGCTAGCACTTCAATGCTACACCTTCTCACCCCCTTGGCAATCTGAGTTGCCCTGCTGGGTTCAAACATGGTGCGGACATTCCATGTCCCCACGTTTACTTTCGCTTTCATCGAGAGAAGCGAAGACACATCGGCCGATTGGCTTCCCGAGGACTTTCAGCAACTGGTGTCAGTTCGCCTCTCCGATTCCAGCGAGGAATAATTTTGTTTTTATTTTTTATATTTTGTTTGTGCTTTGAAGTTTCTTTAGCGGTTAGATTGGTTTTATGGTGTAGGGTTTCTAGCCCTACGCCCAACCTTCCCTCTGTACCCGGGCTTAGGACGGGCTAGTAACTAGTGAACTAGTTAACCAGGTGGGGTTGGATTTACATCACTATGAACAATAAATTGTTTCGGAAATGTAATTCAGGTAATAGTAAATTTTCACTGTGATGCAGCTAACAAATCATCTAGAAGTATCAATTGATTGTTACATGAATATTATAAGAGTGGCTATAAACATCATGCATTTTTAGCGTGCCATTGATTAATACAGTGATGAACAAACTCGTTGTTTCTTCTCATTCTAATTACTGGTTGCGGTGTCTTGAAACCGAAATCCCTTAGCCTTATTCAGTGGTTGCTTCATAATATCATATCTTCATTTCATCTTCATCTGTACCGCGACTTAAGGCTATCAGATTATTAAGCTTTAAGGTGTCTCTGTGGTCTTATTTAAAATTTCCTTGCAGTAAGAACTAATCTTTTGTTGTTCGCAGTCTACGGGAAGCATCATATTGAATGCATGTATCTGGGATACTTATAATACCTGGGTCTTCAAACCAAAGAAATATTGTAACAACACTCAAGTTAGATCAGAGGACAACAAGACTATTTGGCGCTCACCGTCTAACACCAAGGTTGTACTGCGTAGGATATCTTGTCCAAACTACGTGGTCAGAATATTTTACGAGAATAGGTCTGAAATTCGCATGCTAATAGGTTCTTCATCAATCCTTGAGAATATGAACCACCATCAATATTTCACTCACGGTGTTAAGATATTAATTCTTGCCCTTTCACCTAACAGTATCATCTATATTAATTCAAGGGGTAATGATTCGGATGATAATTGGAATAAGTGGAGAGTTTTATCAAGATGACAAAGTAAGTTAAACTCCGAATATTGAATTGCAGAGTGAATATGTTTGAAAACTGCTCAGGCATTTCTATAATACCAGTTTTGATTTCACGAAGTTACGTCTTTTTGATTTTGTCTGTCTGTCTGTGTCTATTTTCAGCACTGTTTGTAGTCAGCAATTTGTGTAGGAACACGGTCGTGAGAACATTTTACGAGACTCCCTAGAGTTTGTTAAAACTCAAGCTGTTCTAAAGTGACTTTAAAGGCCGTCCTGGCAACGATCAAAATAACCAAATAGGTTTCTTCATCTCGGCTTGAAAAGGAGTTTTTCATAAAATACATAAATCCAATTGGTTACTTCAGTTGTTGTTAGAGTAGCCTTTAAAGTCACTCCTTTTCTGAAGCCTCATTGA